AGAGAGGCCGAAATACGTGAGTGCGAAGAGCTTGAGATGCTGGCCGACAGGAAGAACGCCCGAAAATTCTACCAGAGGGTTAGGCGACTTACGGAAGGTTTCAAGACCGGGGCGAACTCCTGTAAGAACAACAATGGCGACCTAGTGACCGATGTCCAGAATATACTTAAATTGTGGAGGGAACACTTTTATAACCTACTGAATGGTAGCAGCGCTGAAAGTAGTGAGGAAGACGAACCCGAGTCCCCAGTCGATGATGATGGAGTAGCTGTCCCACCGCCTGACTATGACGTGGTACGAATAGCGATTACGCGGCTGAAAAACAACAAAGCTGCTGGAGCTGACGGCCTGCCCGCCGAGCTATTCAAGTACGGCGGCGAGGACCTGATGAGGTGCATGCATCAGCTCGTATGCAGAATATGGTCAGATGAACGCATGCCCGACGACTGGAATTTAAGTGTGCTCTGCCCAATCCATAAGAAAGGCGACCCCGCCATACGCGCCAACTACCGCGGAATTAGCGTTCTAAGCATAGGTTACAAGGTCTTATCGAGCGTATTGTGCGAAAGACTGGAGCCCACCGTCAACGAGCTGATTGGACCTTATCAGTGTGGCTTTAGGCCTGGAAAATCCACCATAGATCAGGTATTCACAATACGCCAAATCTTGGAAAAGACCCGCGAGAATAGGATCGACACACACCATCTATTTGTCGATTTCAAAGCCGCTTTCGACAGCACGAAGAGAAGTTGCCTTTATGCCGCGATGTCTGAATTTGGTATCCCCGCGAAACTAATACGGCTGTGTAAAATGACGTTGAGCAATACCACCAGCTCCGTCAGAATAGGGAAGGACCTCTCCGAGCCGTTTGATACAGGTTTCAGACAAGGGGACTCCCTTTCGTGTGATTTCTTTAATCTTATGTTGGAGAAGATAATAAGAGCCGCAGAACTGAACCGCTCAGGCACAATACTTTATAAGAGCGTACAATTGCTGGCGTATGCCGACGACATCGATATTATCGGTAAAAACAAGGGCTACGTCTGTTCTGCCTTCTCGGGATTGGATAGAGAAGCAAAGCGAATGGGTCTGGTGGTGAACGAGGACAAAACGAAGTATCTCCTGTCAGCACACAAACAGTCAGAGCATACGCGTCTTGGCACCCACGTCACTGTTGACAGTTACAAGTTTGAAAAAGTAGACGACTTCGTTTATTTGGGAACCAGCATTAACACCAATAATAATGTCAGCCTTGAAATCCAACGGAGAATCACTCTTGCCAACAAGTGCTACTTTGGGCTGAGTAGGCAATTGAGAAGTAAAGTCCTCTCTCGTCGTACAAAGATCACACTCTATAAGTCACTCATCATGCCTGTGCTGGTGTATGGCGCGGAAGCATGGACAATGAAAGCATCTGATGAGGCGGCTCTTGGAGTTTTCGAGAGAAAGATTCTGCGAAAGATTTACGGACCTTTACGCGTTGGTGATGGCGAATATCGCAGACGATTTAACGATGAGCTGTATGAGCTTTACAACGATATAGACATAGTGCAGCGAATTAAAATTCAGCGGCTCCGCTGGCTTGGCCATGTCGTTCGGATGGACAGAAACGCTCCTGCTCTGAAAATATTCAACGCGGGCGGCGATGCTGGTAACAGAGGAAGAGGACGGCCTCCTCTGCGTTGGAAAGACCAGGTGGAGAAGGACTTGGCTTCACTTGGCATTTTCAATTGGCGTCAGTTAGCACAGAAGAGATATGACTGGCGTGCTGTTTTGGACTCGGCCAAAATCGCTTAGGCGGTTACAGCGCCAAATAAGAAGAAGAAGAACATAATGCAAAACCGTGTATCAAGATAACGCAAAACAATCGCATTTCTGGCTAGTATATTTCAGCGCGAATGGGTAAGGCTTGAGCCAAGGGCTTCGGTGCGCAAATCCAATTTTGGACAAAAAATGTCAGCTACGCGCTTTTGCAGAACGACGATACGCGGTTTTGTACTTTAAATTACGTAATATGTATATGAGGTTGAGTAGTTTTCGTTTTTGTCATTAACAGTTTTATACATACCTCAAGATAATATGCATCTTACCGATTTAAAAGAAAATTTCATATACATACGTACATACATATATCTATACAAATTAATATACATACATACAAATGTATATGTGTATCTATGAGAATTCTTTTATTTCTGTAATAGTGATGTGCTGAGTCGATACATTTAAGTATTGATCGATACTCGGTACCGATTTGAAAAGTATCCAATACTTTCGATACTCGGTACCGAAATGTTTAGATTTCTTATAAGACCGCACAACAGCCAAATTATAAAGTAAAAGTAGTTCAGGGGAGCCCCACGTGTCAAAACACGAATGTAGTGCCTATATAGCTTTTAAAATTGTTAAAATCATAAATGTATAAACATTTTCAAGAAAAGGGGCTTTTCTAAAACTTCTTCCAGACATCTCCTTAAACCTTACTTGCACTTGTTCCAAAAATACAACAAGCCGAATTTAAATAAAATAAATAATATAAAAAAAACTTTTTAATATACAACGCTTTTATAAATGGACTAAAAAGTAGAAAATAATACTTCTCAGTCCCATAGAATTTGTTTTGATAACTTTTGATTTTGAAATTTTAGCAAAAGTCATTATAAACAATCTATGAAATTGAAAATGAAAAACGTGGAGCGCATGCAATACAAAGCATTCGATTTAATTGACAATAGTCAAACTACATAACGTAGACCTAAAATTTCTACAGCGAAAGTAGAACTTTGAAATCGATTTTAAGCGGTCGTTATTCATATACCCACATACATACATACATATATTACTTTTCATATCAATTCAAGTGTATTACATGCGCCCCACGCTTTTCATTTTCAATTTCATAGATTGTTTATAATGACTTTTGCTAAAATTTCAAAATCAAAAGTTATCAAAACAAATTCTATGGGACTGAGAAGTATTATTTTCTACTTTTTAGTCCATTTATAAAAGCGTTGTATATTAAAAAGTTTTTTTTATATTATTTATTTTCTACTTTTTAGTCCTGTCTGAATAAAATTTTGCAATAGATATTAAAATAATTCAACGATATTAATAGAAAGGTGCACACACATGCATTTACATATGTATGTACATACAAACGAGCACCAATTAATTTTATTTAAAGAAATGGCGTGTCGTCTATTTCCGGTGTAGCGAACGTAGTACATAGGGCGACATCTAGATGTCATCTACCTCGCCCTATTCACTATGCTTTTTTATAGGAGCTTTTCAAAGCTTTGCTTTATGGTGTCGGACACACAACATTGAAAGTTTCTGGAACACAACATTGCAAGTTGATAAAAGCGTTGTAAAATGAAGTACATTTACTATATATTTTATGTATGTGCACATATACCTATATTCAAGAAATTTTTTTATACATACATTTATTTTTATATATATACATTTTTGTGTCTTGTGTTAAGATAATCATATTTAAGTACACTTTTCCGTTCGTATTTACAACAAACTAATAATACAAAGGTTTATTTTAAATAATATCAAATAACAATCAGGCACACATGGAGATCGTTTAAGTTTCTATGAATGTTTAAAACGTTAAAAATAAGACTTAGTTTTTGTTTAAAAAATTAATTTTTCCACATTATTAAGATCTAAATGATTTCTTCGCTCGGTTAATATTTGCCCCGCTTTTGAAAATATACGTTCGCTTGGAACTGACGTCGCCACAATGCAAAGGAACTCTTTTGCAATCTCTGCCAATCTGGGGTAGAAATCTTTTTTTTCATTCCACCATTTTAAGGGATCTGATTTGCGATCTAAAAGCTTTTCATTTAAATATTGGTTAATTTCAATAATAGCTTTAGAATAACTATTAGTGTTTCCTTGAACACGGCGATCAAAGTCAGTCCATGTTTAAATTTACTCTGATATCACTAATAGTGGCCTCATTGTTTGAAACATTTTTGTTCTCGATTAATCGGATGAGGCTGTCTTTACAGGCCTGAAAAGCTTCTTTGTCCGTAAAAGCATTTTTCTTGAACCTTGGATCTACGATGGCTGAAACTGATAAAATTATATTGTGCTCAAAGCGAAGAAACCGTTTACCTATGTTGGATATTAATTTTTCAGCAAATATACGGCCTGTATCTGTTTGTAACAGATTTAACTTGTTATTTAAAAATGATTGCAACCCTCGAATTAAAATAATTACTTTTGACACAGTAACGTACTGTTCAGCGCTCATTTCCATTGTCAAATCTTCAAAAGGCTTTAATAGTTGAGAAATCTCATTCAAAACCTCCCACTCATTTGCGGCTAAAATACTTATGGGGTTATGCAGCACACCGATAGTTGCCTCAAGAGGCTCCTGAACTTCAATCAACCTTTGAATCATATAGAATGTAGAATTCCATCTGGTTTGTACTTCCATTTTTAGTTTTAATTGGAGTTTATTCATTGTGGTCTGTATTCCTTTAATTTATTTGCAGCCACTATACTTCTATGAAAATATTCTACAATTGAACGACATTTATCTCGCAAAACGTCAACGTTACTCTCCTTGAAGGAATCGCAGATAATTAGGTGGAGCGTGTGGGCAAGGCAGGGTATGCTCCGCCACGCGGTAAGTCTAATGGCAGCAATGACATTAGCTGCGTTATCGGACGCAACTGCGCAAATTTTCTGACTGATATTCCAATCAGTTACTGAATCTATTTAAACATTTCGCAAATTATGTGGCGTTCATTCATTCTAAAACAATTTAAAACCAAACTTTTTTGCTGCCAAATGTTGGATATAAAATGAGCTGTAAGCGATACAAAACTTTCACTTGTTAAAGATGTCCATGCATCTGTGGTGAGGCATACGAAATTGGCTGCTGACAAAATTTGCTTCACCTCATTTACGCGCTCTTCATAAACTTGTGGCAACAGTTTCTTCGTTGAAAATGTGCGAGATGGAATATGATAAGAGGGATTCAGCTCACTGATGAAGTTTTTAAAGCCAACGTCCTCGACAATGGGGAACGGTTGAAAGTCTTTCACTATCATTTGCAGTAGCTTCTTATTTAAAGCTGTTACCATTTCTTTTGATAATTTTGGTTGCGTGTAGTTGCTGAGCCTCGTTTGTTTTGTAGCTGATGACGTACTATGTTCAGGGGCCATTGTGGCATGTTCTATGTACAATGTTAAATTTGAAATACATAAATACATATATGGAAACGTTACAATGCAATAAAACACTTACCATCGTTTCTTACCGATGTTGTTTGCGATAACTCAATTGATGGATGCTTAACAAGGAGATGCTTTCGTAAATTGGATGTACCTCCACCTAGTTATTGTAATATGTTTATTGTAAATAATTTTAGTTATTAATTAATGAGCAAATATATAGGCATACCTTTGTAAGACAGAGTAGTTTTACAAAAATCGCATTTTGCCCTTACTGCATCCACCACTGTAAAGTGCTGCCATAATCCTCTCCGTTTACCTTCGTTTTCTGCAATTAAATATTTGTAGCATGTAATTTCTAAGCTAATATTGTAAAAATACTTACTCAAACGCGACGCCATTTCGAACGTTAATGTATAATATTCAAACGTAGATTTTCTTTGAAAAGAGAGTTACCACAGATATTGCGAATTTGAAAAAGTCTAACAACGTTGCCGCAAGAACTATAGCGGTTGGTAGGACTGTTGTGATAAGTACAAGAAAGGGATGAGTGTTTGTGATGGCAGTATTGTAGAGATGCGGTTGCCGTACATATTATGCTTGTTAATATTTTACGAAAACATCGTCTGATTTGTACATTTAGGGTCTTTTAGGCAATATCATATAAAATAGCTATGAAATAAATTCTTTTCAAAATTTAAATATATATTATAGCGAAGGTTTCATGTATCGAATCGGTATCGGGTACCGAAAAGGAAGTATTGGGTACCGAAATTTTTTGCAAGTATTGGGTACCGAGTATTGGATACCGACAATTCAGCATAATAAGATAAACAACAGTACTCAACATTGCAGACGCCGTATAAGGAAAAATGAATTATTACGAAATACAAATAAAGTGGCAGCACTTTACGCCATTTTGCATTTTTCGTTTCAGTTCAGGAACATTGTTTACTTGTTTTTCAATAAAAAAATAAACAATCTTTTGTTGTAAAATTTATGTACACTTTGAACAAGTTTTTCAAAAAATATATTTTACTAATGTTTCAAAGAGAATATTGGTTTTTTAGTACATTTTTGAGCGTGCAATTACTCATAAAAAGAAAAACATTTCAAAAAATTATTTACACGCTTAACAATATAAACCCCCCACATCCGAATTGTTAACACAGGGATATAAATGCGCCGATTGGTACCCCTCCGGACAGTTTTGAGCGTTTTCTTTGTTTTGCAAGTTGTACCTTCAACTAGAGACTTACCGAGTTACTTTATGTACATATGCACACCAGCTGTGCACCAAGTAAACATTATACAAAAAATTATCAAAGGTGCAATAACGCCATAATGGCTTTATATGAACCTGAAGAATCTTTTCATTCAAAAATTTGTTCCTATAATTTTCCGGATCTAATGAAAAACCAATATGAATGTTCTTATGGACGAACAATGCGAGTTTTCTCCATTCGATATCGAAATCTTGCAAGTTCAAAATAAGTTGGAAATATAACGATGGAATGCAAAAATTATCGATAACATTTTGATTATTTAGCAGCAAATGCAAATGTGCTTAAGAACGAAAAACAACACACAAACGGCTTGACAAACCAAGGGAAATATAATATTTGACAAGCCGTTTGCGGTAATGTGAACAGAAATCAAAATTTTTGGATTTTCTGGCTGCCTTGTTGACGTTTAATCAAACCGCTTACATTGTGTATGGTAAAATCGTCTCATTCGCAATGGAATTTTCACCGATTGAGGTCGCAAAAGAGAAAAATCGAAGAAAACCAAACTCTTTTACATTGTGAACCGGAAGAAAACTAAAATTCTTTGCTTGAACGAGTCGTGTTTGCATGGCATATTTGACAAGCCATTTATGTGGTATATTTCGCTCTTTATAAAACTTCGGAAAGGTTTTTGTTCAAAAATTTGCAGAGCGATTTGACAACTATGTTGTGTAAAATACTAAAACACTTTTGTTGTCTGCAAATATATCGAGAGAAAATTCCTAAAAAATTCCTCAAAATAAAAATCCTCAAAAAATACTCAAACGCACCCGAAACTCACACTGGTCACACTGTGCTGAACCAGAAGGTTGTACGCACTGTGCCAACTTGGTTCTTTTCGCCCAAAATTTAATGCAAAATCAATAACAAAATCGATAAAAATATCGATAACAAAATCGATAAAAATATCGATAACAAAATCGATAAATAATCGATAACAACGTCGATAACAAAATCAATCAAAATATCGATAACAAAATCGATAAAAAATATCGATAATAAAAGCGATAAAAATATCGATCACAAAACCGACAAAATATCGATTATTACATCGATAAGTCCCGAGAATCACGAAAATCTCTAAAATCCCGAAATAGTCCCCAAATTGAGTCTCTGTGCCTCTAGCTATATCCTTTGCTCAACAACTACCTTTATTTTTATCTTTCTTCCTCTACCTGCATCTTTACTTTTATCGGTATTCTCATCCTCATATTTTTCTTTATATTTATCTTTGTTTTTGTTTTTATGTTTATCATATTCTTCATATACATATTCCCCTTCACCTTTGCCCTCATATAAGTAAAGTGTTTAAATTTACCTTGGTCTTCATTTTTGCCCTTATCATCTTTACCTTTGCCTTTATCCTTTTCTTTATCTATGTACGTACTCACCTTTACTTTTATTCTTGGATTGGTTGTTTTCTAAGTGTTGTTTCACTTCAAAAAGTTTTCGCGTATTATGCACACAGGTATTCATACATATATGTATGTACATATGTATATAATATGTATAGACATACATAGATTACTAAAAAATAGAAACATATCCACATTAGGGGCTGTCCATATATTACGTAAGACCTTTTCTTGTATTCTTATTCAAAATTCACCCAATTAAAGTACTACATTGCATTGAAATGAAAAATATACATTAAATACGGAGGATATTACAATTTTTTACAACTTTTGCTTTAATTTTTCTATTTTTTTCTAAAAAACGTTACTCTTCGGTGTCTATTATAACCGAAAAATGCAGCTCGAACACAAACAGACGAAAACTCCCTTACGTAATATATGGACAGCCCCTAAATTTCAATGGACTGTGAAAATGAAATACCTTTGAGTGAAAAATAAGTACGAGATATCCCTGTGGCTACTCCTCTTTCAGATTAGCTGGCTGGACTGTGTAATGAAGTTTTTAAGACTGTTCTTTATTTATACAAGCAAAATATGAAACTTTCGCTAACATCTATCTATAGCAGAACACTTCCCTTTATTTTAATATATTAAATATTATTTTCTGAAAACCTGTTAAAAAGATATAACCCATTTTATGCGTACCGATTTTGAGTGAACAATGCTTTATATAGTACTAGCAGACCCGGCGAACTTCGTCCCGCCCAAAATTAATTTTTTTATTGAAACATTTGAACCAACGTTCGCCAGCAATTCACGTTCACGTTTGGTTTTGTGGTCGACAGAAAGCATATCCTCCACTGCCGTCCTAATAACCTGACGAAAGCGTTATACCGGGAAGAAGTCTTTGCGGCTCGATGGTGAATCGTCCTTGAATCTGTATAGCATAGTAGGTGGCAATTTCCAAACTGGTGAGTATTATTGATCCACATTTTGTTTAGTACCTTAAACCACGGACCGCAATGGTTCTGATGGTTTATTTAACGGGAGTAATTTGTCTTTGATCCCTGGTGCCTCCGAATTGGCGATTTTTAGCAATAGCTCGGCTTCAGCGCCACTTTGCGCACATTTTTTGCAATAGTATTGCCCCTATTTTTACCAGTACATATCGTCGTTTAAAGTGCAAAACCGCGTATCAACAAAATGCAAAACCGCGTATCAGCAAAATGCAAAACCGCTTCTGGAGCGTAAAAACACTCATATTTCAAAATGGTTCTCCTTTTTGTAAAGCAATTGCATTTCTGGCTAGTATATTTCAGGACGAATGGATAAGGATTGAGCCAAGAGCTTGTGTGAGCAAATCCAATTTTTGGCAGCCAATGTCAGTTACGCGGTTTTGCAGAATGACGATACGCGGTTTTGTACTTCAAACGACGATATGTATCTCGAATATGAGTCAAATCGGATCACAAATACGATTTTGAGTAATAACTCGACTCCAGCGCCACCTGGCGTTTTAAGTTGCGAAC